TCTGTGCAGGCCCATAAGTTGCCTAAGGGATTGTTGTTGGGTGGGGCCAGTCTCTAGGGTGGGCTGCCTGCCCTGGCTGAGCTGGATTAAATCGGTGCTCTAGTGGGTGGGGCAGACTCGGGCTAGCAGGCCCCAGGGAGAACTCCAATTGTGTCTGTGTCAGCACGCCCACACCAGGCCACAGCAATGGCTACTGCCAATGTCCCAGTCCCTGGAGAGGTCTCACCTCTCACGGAGATGCACTCAGGGCTTATCAGGTGAGTCTCTTTTCACCAAAGCACTATGCACCTTTCTTTCTGGTGATTTTCGGTCGCTTTCTGAAACGGGTGAGTTTGCGCGTGGGCCCTTTAAGAGCCGGTTTTAATTTCTTTGTGAACCAGCCCTTCTGTGGGTACTCCCCAATGTTTTAGTAGCAGGCAAAGTCAGATATTCTGCCACTTGTCTTGGTTTTGCTGAGTCCAGAAAATGCCCACAGCGGGGGCGCTCCCTGGCTCAGGGCCCCGCTCATCCAGGGAGGGCTGCGGACCTCTGGGCTGCTCCCTGGCAGCCGTGAAGCTGGTGGCTTCTATTCAAATTTATTGTTAAGCTTTAAAAGCTTTTTTACATTGTAAAGCAATTAACAAATGCCTAGAAGTCTTTTCAAACATTCTGATGCTTTAGAGCCAGCAGAGGGCATTAAATTGCCATTAGTGAATAATCATTTGAATCATACAGTTATTTTTTCCAGGTCTGTGTTTTTAAAATTAGGATGAAATGCCAATATCTCAGAGGTAATTATTTCACTGTAATATAAGCTTGCAAAGAAATCTGATTTTCCTAGGATCAACTAGATGTAGTTCTCAGATATGCAACATTTAAATTCATAAAGCTACACAATTCACAGAAAACAAACTGTTACTAGTATTACAGGGACTTTTTAAAAAAATAAATCCTTAGCAAATATAACTACAGATGATCAGTTTGAAAGAAATTTAAAAGTTCTCATCACAAGAAGAAACATTGTAACCATGTGAGGTGGTGTGTGTTAACTGAACTTACTGTGGTAATCATTTTGTAGTATATACATATATCAAATCATTATGTTGTACAGTACACCTAAAAGTAATACAATGTTATATGTCAATTATATCTCAATAAAACTGGAAGAAAAAGACAGTACAAATAAAAAGAATGTAAAATATCTCCTTCATAATTTCATATTGATTACATATTGATATAATATTTTGGATATATTGGGTTGAATAAAACACATTATTAGAATTAAAAAAAAATTATAGATGACTAACCACTGGTGGCTCCTAGTGGGGGGTGATAGACTAGATCATCTTTAAGGTTTCTTTCTGCTCTGATTTTTACTGGTTCTAGGACTCATTCAGTCAGTCAACAAATATTTATTGAGTGCCTACCATGTGCCAGGCCAGGCACCATTCTAGGCATTGGGATACATCAGTGGTGACTCAAAGATCTCTGCCCTCATGGCATCAATATTCTAGTAGGGAGAGACAGACAATAAACAACAGCTGTAATAAAGAAGTTGAATGGAAAGAGAGAATGTAGAGCAGGGCATGGAGAATTAGAGTGCTGGGGTAGAGGTAGGCTGCAAGTTTAAAAGGTGGCCAGTGTAGGCCTCATTGAAGAGGTGACACATCAGTGAAGGCTTAAGAAGTCATAAGGATATCTGGAGAAGAGCAGTAGATGCAGAGGGAAGGGCAAGCCCCACAGCAACAGCATGCCTGGGAATTTGGAGGAGCAAGGAGGCCGGTGTGATTGGAGCATAATGAGCGAGGGGGCGGTGAGGGCGATTGGGGCAGCAGCAGGGAACCAGATAAATGCTCTGCAAGCCGCTGCAAGGGTTTTGGCTTTTACTGTAAAGAGATGGGCAGCCACTGCAGGGATTTGAGCAGAGGATTTTCATGAACTGACTTATGTTTTTAAAGGATCGCCCTGGCTGCTGTGGTGGAGAACAGGTACGCTGCAGGCAAGGCTGGAAGTTGGGAGACCAGTTAGGAGGCTATGGCAACATTCAGATGAGAGATGAGGGTTGCTCCCACTAGCAGAGGTCCAGTAGAAGTCGTGAGAAGGGGAAGGATCCTGAATTGTGAAGGTGGATTGATGCAGGGTTTGAGAAAAAGAGAGAAGTTAGATGAAATTACCTTCAACTAATGATGGAGAAGGTCCAAGTGGATCAGGTTTGGATGTAAGATTAAGAGTTCAATTTTAGTTAGAATAACTTTGAGATGTCCGTCACACATCCAAGTGGAGATGCCGAGTAGGCAGTTAGATATACAAATCTGGATTCGGGGAGAGAGGGTGTTGGGGATGTAAATTTAGGAATTGTCACCATATGGACAGTATGTAACTCCATGAGCCTGGAAGAGATCACCAACAGTTTGAGTTTAAACAGAGAAGATAATGGCTTCTAGGATGGAGCCCTGAGACACGTTAGTGTTAAAAGATGGGGGAGAAGAGAAAGAACCAGCAAGGAACTGAGAAAGAGCAACCAGTGAAGTGGGAGTGAAATCAAGAGAGGAAGGTGCTTTGTAGGTCAGAAGAAAAAAGTCATTGAGGAGGAGAGAGGATGAACTAAATCAAAGACTGTCCAAGTAACAGGACGACTGAGAGCTGATGTTAATTTTAGCAATTTAAAGGTCTCTTTTGATCTTGACAGGAACAATTTTGTTGAAGGCTGGGGTGAAATGCTGATCAGAATGGATTTAACAGAGAATGGAAGGAGAGGAATTGAGACAGCCAGTATGAGCAACTCTTGAGGGTTTTTGCTAGAAAAGGGATCAAAGACATAGGGCAGTGACTGGTGGGGGTGGTAGGGCCAAGAGAAATATTTTGAAGATGGGAGATATTGCCACATGTTCATATGTTGATGGGAATGATCCAGTAGAAAGCAAAAGATTGTGGGAGAGAATGGAGAGTTTGCTGGAACGATGTCCCAGGGAAGGCGAGTGAGTCTTATGCACAACTGGATGGACTGGCTTATTTGGAAACACAGATAAGTAATCTATGGAAAGAGGTAGAAAGGCCGAGTCTGTGGGTGCAGGTGCTACGGAAATTCTCTTCTGATTGCTTCAGTTCTCTCATTAAAGTGAGAAAGAAGATCATTGATTGCAAGCAAGCTGGGGAGTAGGTGTTTGAGGTTTTAGGGGAAAGGAGCAGGAGTGAAGTAGTCATTTGGGGCGTGGGAGTCGGGGGTGGGAAAGCGAAGGGACTGGTGGAGTGTGGTAGGATTGCCGGGGGCATCAAAGTTCCACTTGAGGTTCGTGTCATGAATGTAAAGTGTGATCAGGCAGCATGATTGTGTTGAAATCCAATTTTTAAAAAAATTCTACAGAGAATCACTGTTCCCAGTAACAAAACTAATTTGCTTGACTGTGATCTCTCTTCATTTTAAAAATAACTTTTCATTGATGTATGACATATAGAGAAAATGCACAAATTTTATTTATTTATTTATATTATGCTCTCCTATGAATGGTAATAAATAGGAAACGGCCAAAAGAGCCAGAGAGAGAGGAGAAACAAGCTTTGTTAATCAACTCTGAACAATCAAGAGCACCCAACAGTTCTCTTTACAGTGTTCAGATCCAGTCACTGGTCTGTAGTGTGTACCCATTTTGTGCAAAACACTGTCTTCAGCTTTAAGGAGGTGAATGTAAGGTCAAGTTTCTTCCCTTGTGGAAGGGAAAATATTTGCCAGTGTTTCCAACATTTAGAGCCCAGACCATCTCTAGGTCCGTGTATTTGGTCGTGAACTCAGAGGGAAGGCATTGATTTGGACTCATCTTAGGGTGTCTGGTTGGTGTAAAAGCTGTCCCGTGCTTACAAGAAGTTAGAGGGCATGTTCTCTCAGGTCTCAGGAGCCGCTCTGGGGCGTGGGCTCTGTGTCCACTGAGCTCTGCCTCGCGCCCCGGGAGGCTGACTGTAAAGTCTGGCACAATCACTCTTGGCTCCACTCTTCTTTTCAGGGTTGGGGAGCTGAGTATCATCGCCAGGATGTCACGAGCACCCCCTGCTGGATTGAGATTCATCTTCACGGACCACTGCAGTGGTTGGACAAAGTTCTGACTCAAATGGGCTCTCCACATAACCCAATTTCTTCAGTGTCTTAACAGTCATGTCTTAAGCTACATTTCTATAGAATAGATGCTATTGCAGGCAGTGGCTTATATCATTTCAGATTTGCAACTAACTGAAGTTTCTAAGTACATGTGTAAATACATATAATATATACTATTCATATTTTTTATCACCATTTGTTTTGTGCTTTCTAGTTAACCTGATGCCAGTACAATGTGATTACAAAAGCAGGTTTTTCATGCCTATGCTATAAAAAGCAGCTTCTTTTGTGGGAGGGAACAAATAAAAGGCAACTGTATCAATAGTATTTGAAGGGTGTTGGCAGAATAAAAGGCAGCTTTAGTCAGCCATGTCATTGTACAGCATGTTGTGTGGCTTACGAGAAAAATGTTAAAACTGTTCGTATAGCAAACGTCAGGTACTAGCAGCACTAGAGCAAATAATACTTTCAGACAAAACAAAGCAATCAAACCCATATAATTTAAATGATCTCACTTTTAGTGCTATTGGCAAGAAAAAAAATCAAGCTTATACAATTAATTACGTAAGATCAGACACACAAACTTTATTTCTGAAGTTGAAATACCTATAGCTGGACTATTGTGCTGATATTAAGGGTACATTTTAAACAGATTTAAACTGTGATTGGAAAAGAAAGAAACTGTGAAGCTGACAGTCATGTTGCCTCATAATCTACCACTGTAAAAAAAAAAAATAGATGAGTGTAATATGGCAAGATAAATATGAAAATAGCATGAAATTAGCTATGTTCTCAAATTGCAAGGTGAGACCAGAACTTAATTCACGAATCACGCAGGGAGACTCCTGCTTCCCACATGGGAAATCAGGTTCCTATTTTCCTGCTTATTCATGTCAGGTGGTCCTACAGACTTCCGAGTCTGCACGGTGAGCTGTAAGGCTGTGTGTAAGTCCTGTGTGCAGAAGCAGCAGGTAAAATAAGAGGCTTGGACAAAAGCATCCCGTGTTTACTTACACCTTCTCACATTCCCACAGTAAAAGTCTCTAGGTGAGGGCCCTCCTTTTGTCCTATTTCCTTGCCTGGTGGCATATATTAACTATTTACAGATTACTAAAACAATGGTGAAGACTTTGAGAAAATCAAGACACATTGTTGGGATCAAATTTATAAGTTATTTAACTTAGTGTCTCTATTGATTAAAGTATCTACTGTCAAGTCTGGTAGCCTCTTATAAAGCTAATCTTATACTTGGAAATAACTTCCCAAGTAAAATGATGATAATTTCATAATTCCTATAATTTCTGGGGAACAGTGGTACTGAATAATAGGACATTAAAAAAATACACAATATTAAAAACCTGTTCTTCTTTACCCTTGAATGGTAAAGAGAGGAAAATTCCCCAAAATTCTAGGTACTTTCGTATATTTATAATTTCCACCCACTAAACACTGCATTGCTTGGAAAAATGTTTCACACCGTCTTAAAAATGTATAATTTAAGAGGGTAATTATGCTTGTAACAGATGGTACTTCAGTAATCCAAGAGGTTTCTTCATTTATACATTCTATCTCAACTCTTTCTAGCATTAGTGCATACGGTAGTTGTTTCTCATTAAATTGTATTCAAGGTAGAAATGATCATGTGAAAAAGATATATGAGTGAGCTACTACTGTCACTTCTTGTAATGACTAGTGTTATCTAATAGAAACTTTCATATATACAATAAAAATTAAATATTACATTTTACATTAAAACTAGGTGGCCCATTTAGTGTTTAGAAAATCCCGTAGTTTATTGGTTCATCAACTATGTATTGTGCACCTGTATGTGCCAGGTACAATGTTAAGTACTGTGGAATCGAGTGTAAACGAGAGGCAGTCCCAGCCCTCGGGCTCAGAGTCTAATTGTAAATCTATTTGTATGGACATCTTCATGTTTCAGAACTTGTAAAACAAAACAAAACATGCAATCTTCCTTTTGCTTGAAAAAATGTGATCGATATTTTAATTATCTCTATTTGGAAACTTATTTCCCTTCTCTTCTGAGCAATCAGGTGATGGATGAAGACTGCCTTGGATAAATGCTACTTTTATTCTATGTCTCAAAGTTGCTTTTTTTTTTTCGCCTTTTGCTTTCCTATTTTCCAGTAATTCTCCATCTCCCTTTTTCTTGGAAAAGGCATTAATATGGTGAATCTTCCTCATATGAGTATCATTGCACGAGAGAGCCACAAGTACGCACGGTTTCTGCTCCAGAGGCCAGACATGGCTTTCTTGATCAAACTTATCCTCTGGAAATCTTATACCTTTGCAGAATTAATTAGAACTGGTTGCAGAAAAATGACATTAAAAAAAAAAAAAAGAAAGAAAAACTTGAATTTTCCTGCAGCTTTGGGAAACCAGGACAGAATATTCCAGTGAACCTGAATTATTTCTTCAAAAAATAAATGATTAAAGTGGTACATATGCATCATCACCAGTCATGTCTCACCAAAGGCCTTTATTAGAGTATGTGTGAAATTCAGAGATTTTAGAATTGATGAGAAATTAACCCTTCAGTCATTGTAACATTGTCACATTTTAATCAGCCTTTTTTTATTTTTGCTGGCAAGAATTGTCAAATGTTGTGATGCAGTATTTGATTTCAGACTTCTAAATATGCTCATTTTGCATTCATTCCTTGAGGTAGACAATCCAAAAAAATGTAATGCATTTTTTTTTACAGCAAAGTGGACATACTAAGCCATTAAATGCATCAGCAATGCCAAACATATTTAAGGTTGCCATGGACAAGGGTCGTGCAATAGAGAATAATAACATTTTGGCCTGCTCACAAGACCCAGAACATGTATCCTGTTGTTCAAGCCTGTTTTTTGGTTTTTTCCCTGTTAGAAAATTGAGATGTGAAAAGTTTGTTTTAGTTAGATGATATTTTGATATTTGCCAGTGCTTTGGAACTATAAAGATGTCACTATTCAACACATTCACTTTATGTTTTGTTATTTTTTTTACACTCAGTATAAATCAGGAAAAGATGGGCAGCAACCTAGCATTTAGAATCCCCTTTTCATTGTCTTCTAAGGAACTGAATACCCCCATGACAACAACAAAAGCATTTTATAAATATCACTTGCTAGGCTTTAAGCACCTGCTTAACTTTGAATGTGCCCTGAATATTTAATATATACATTCAGTAAATAAAGCAAAATATAACATGCATTCCAAATTTTGTCTTGCTCTGTTATGATTTAATAGCTGAACTGTATGACAAGATTAGGTGATCCTGGCATATGTTAAGGATAAGTTCAAATTAATGTGAAACAAAAAAAGAAACTATTTCTATTTAAGTAATGCTTTTGATTATAATATCTAGGCTTCAACTGTCCTTCAGATGCACATCTATACTGTTATCTGATTGTTTATAATAAAGAATTCTGTACCTATATGTATTTTGGCTCATTTTTCCCTACAAACCTTATAGAAGGATTCACTGCATACGGATCCTTAAGATGATCTTAAACCATCCTATTTTGAAAAATGATATGTTCTTAAAAACCAACATGCTATAGAGAAATTAGGCAATGGTTTTGAATTAAAAATCTTGGGATAACTGGCATTAAATATAGAGTGGATATGCATAGAAGCTTTTTTTCTGAATAGTAGCAAATATTGATTCTGCAATCTATAGGAAAGAATGAATAACTTTATTATTGTAAACATCCGTATGTTGCTATATATTACCTATTAGAAAGGTGCTAAAGAAGTCTAGTAAGGAAAAACTAAGATGAAATCCAGGAGGAATATGAACATCTCTAAAAATGTAAATTCTCAATTCCTTCCATTTAAATTTCTTTCCAGTGTTAAAATGGAGGGGGGAAGTTGTAAATATTTCAAGAAAATTTAGCCTTCTTATTAACTTGATCAAGGTTTTCCTTTTGTATTTTTTTTTAGAAATGGAGCCCTTTATTCAAAAGAATATTGTGTGGAATTCCAAAATACAAGCAAATGAAAGACAAGTGATTCTGGTTCAGATGTAGGTGGGATCGTGAAACCTCTAAGTTCTGGAGAGCAGTGATAGTGTCTGGTTTGTCTTTGCATCTCCCCTGGTTCCTGACCCTGTTCTTGCAGCTAATATTTGGTATTGGCATTTAAACACTAACAAGTACAGATTTTTAAATACATCATGGTATAGGCATAAAATACTGTCTTTAAACATTAGCACATCTTAGAGAAGGAATATTTTCATCATCCTAGAAATTTCCACGTATTTATCAGATGAGTCTCATGCGTCAGCTGCTACCAGGCACGCCCTGTAGGTACAGTGACAAATAACACAGTTTCTGCCTTAAAGGAGTTTACCAGGTTGTGGTGGAAGATGAACAAGTAAACCAGTAAAGGTCAGAGTGCTATCAGTTGTGACAGGCTGCTGAGGGACCAAGCAAAGACATCTCCCTCAGACCCTGGGTGGGTACCTGGGAAGGCTTCTGGGCAGATCCAACTTGCCTTCCTTCCCATCAGTTCCCTTAGCAAGTCATCCCAGACATTCCTCAGCCAGGTTAGGTGTCTGTTCTCTGTGCTCCCATCATAATTTGGGCTCCTCGATGGTCAGTTTTCAATTCCTGCCCCACGTTGTTTACTTGTCTCTACCAGGCTGGGAGCTCTTGAAGGGCAAGAATTGTATCTCTTCATGTTCAGCATTTTCCAGCTATTGTTTAGGAACGCATTTGGGGTTCACATTGTAAAGGCAGAAATGCTATTTGTTTCCAATTCTCCTTTTTAAAAATCAGCAAGTATTTAAGTTCTCCTCTTCAAAATAAAAATAATTGCAAGCCGTGGCCAGCCCCATGGCTTAGCGGTTAAGTGCACACGCTCTGCTACTGGCGGCCCGGGTTCGGATCCTGGGTGCGCAACAACGCACCGCTTCTCTGGCCATGCTAAGGCCGCGTCCCACATACAGCAACTAGAAGGATGTGCAACTATGACAAACAACTATCTACTGGGGCTTTGGGGAAGAAAAAAAAGGAGGAGGATTGGCAATAGATGTTGGCTCAGAGCCAGTCTTCCTCAGCAAAAAGAGGAGGATTAGCACGGATGTTAGCTCAGAACTGATCTCCCTCACAAAATAAATAAATAAATAAATAATTGCAAGCCTCCAATCGTGTTTCCAGTGAGCATGCTGCAGCTGGTGGGGATGAGGGAAGGATGCTCATGATTTAGTTTGGAAATAGATATTCAGCTGCACAGCAGTAGCAGCAAAGGTAGCTTTGACAGTTAAACAGTTAAAATTGTTTTTATTCTAAACACTTATTTTCAAAATGTGAATTTGAGTCAAGACAAGGACCATAAAGAATTCTGATGTTGCAGCACCAAGTTAACAAAGAGTATAAAGAAAGACACCAAGTCTGAAAGTTGATCTGCATAATAATGGATGGTTCCATTATCTACATGCATCTGATAAAAATGTTAGGTATGGCCTGAGAATTACTCCAGCAATCTGAAAAACGATGTTAAATGGAATAAATATAATGAAAATTATACTCAGTTTGGCTTTTAAGCCAAAAATTGCTCATACCTGCATATGTTATTTGGCAATAATACTTGCAAGTGACAGGCTAACTTCTCTCTAATCTCATCATTTAGAAAGAAAAAATCTCTAAAAATTCTAAAAATAATCCACTGACGTTTAATGAAGAGATGTCTGTGGCGAGAGGCGCAGGAGCAGGGGT